AAATAGAATGTACATTAGGACGGGTAAATTTTTTCGACCAGAGGCGTATGCTATGGAGGATTACCACGTGCTCTCTGGCGGATGTTTTAGGAAAAAGAAAAGTCAAGAAATAGATTCCTCATAGCATGTTTTTTACATAAAATGTAAGCACTTCTTTACGACACTACAGCAAAATGCTAAGTAAAAGAAACCTATTTTCGCAATTTGTCAAACTCCAAATTGATTTTAGACCAATGGTTTTTTCGACAAATTTGCTTAGAATTACACGTAGAATCCTCCTATGCTATACGCCTATGTTCGAAAAAAATATCCCATACAAAAATTTCACATATGTAAATCCACATTTTAAAATTTGAACGAAAACTAGAAAATTTCAATAAATTTTCATCAAAATTCAAAGTTTTTTAATTAGAATTTCCAGAAAAACATTTTGGTGGGCAGTTATTTATTCAAAACAAGGATAAGATCTAAATATACATTTGAACCGGAAAACTCCCAGATGATACCCCAAGTCCCAAAAAATATCGAAAAAAAAATCAAACGAGAATCCCAAATATTCTCAAAAAATTCCGAGAAATAACTAAAAATTCTCGAAAATTCCCAAAAAGTAAAACCAGAACCTCGAAAAAAACACGAATGGTACCTAAAATTCCGAAAAACCAGGGACCGCAACAATTATGTACTTTATATAATAAAAACCTCTTAACTGTCAAAGTTGCATTATTATTCGCATCAAACTTAAGCGTTATTTTATGATTTTTTTCAGTCGAAGAATAATTGTTATTTCTGCATTTTTATTTTATCTATCACTGTTTCATCATTATTTTTTAATTTGTATTTTTCGGTCGCATTATAACCGTTATTCTCAGATTTAATTTTTTACATCATAAATGATTTAAACCGGCAATAAAAAGGTCGAAAAAAGTGATATCCAAATTAACGATTATTTTTGACCAAAAAAAAATAAAACTAAAATTCAAAATCAAGAATGAAAATATTTTCCTTTTGTTGTTTTTATGGTTATTCTTTCTTCCATATATGTCCAATTTCAAACTTTGTACAAAAACTACACCTTTTCCAACAGTATTTCAGAAAAACACAAATGTGTTTCAGAAAAGGCCAAATGAATTTCAGAAAATGCCAAATGAATTTTAGAAAAACTCAAATATATTTCAGACAAACCGCAAATGTATTTCAGAAAACCTCAAATGTATTTCAGAAAACCTCAAATGTATTTCAGAAAACCTCAAATGTGTTTCAGAAAAACTCAAATGTGTTTCAGAAAAGCTCAAATGTATTTCAGAAAAACACAATTGTATTTCAGAAAAGTTCAAGCGATTTTCAGAAAAACGCAAATGTATTTTAGAAAAGGGCAAATGTATTTCAAAAAAACACAAATGTATTTCAGAAAAATATTTTTAGAATACAGTTGTGCTTTTCTGAAATTCATTTGTTTTTCTGAAAATCATTTGAGCTTTACTGAAATATAATTGTGCTTTTCTGAATTTCATTTGGCATTTTCTGAAATACATGTGGTCTTTTCTGAAATACATTTGAGCTTTTCTGAAATACATTTGAGTTTTTTCTGAAATACATTTGTGCTTTTCTGAAATTTATTTTGCCTTTTCCGGAATACATTTGTGTTTTTCTAACCGTAGAAAAGGTGTAGAAAAATTCAACAAAGTTTTATCGAAGTTCCAAATCTTTTAATTACAATTTCCAGAAAAATGTTTGGTGCGCTTGTATAGCTTATACATTTTTTGTATAATAAGGTGCAGGCTTGAAGTTCTTTTGATATTTTCTTTGCTGACAGTGTCACGCATTTTCTTCCATACAAAGTATGTTCGATATATATTTTTTTAATATTAAAAAATTATTAGAAATCAACGCGAATTCTTTACCGCTTCAAATATACACTTTATTGTACCAAAAGTTAATAAGCTATAAAACTGCATACTAATCTACCATTTAGACAGCCCATTTCCGAATACTCCCGGGGAGTATGCTGCTTGGCGAACATCGAAGATCGAATGTAAAATTCGTATTATGAGCTATGCAATCTTGTCGAAATTTTCGTTGAGCACCGAAGTTTTTGTTGAACAGAATTTCGCTGTAGCGTAGGGTGAAAAAATTTTTGAAAATGTACATAAATATTTTGCGTTTTTTTTTTTGTTTTTTTTTGCAGCTAAACACTAATTCTAATCTAAATTAGCAAGTACTACACAGCCACTCGAAAGTCTGGTTTCACTTATGGAAGAAAATCCTCAATTTACGAAAAGGATTTGCACAAAAGTTCAGGAGGAAAAAAGTGGGAAGATATCACGCTGGAGCTCAATTGTTTAGGACCACCTATTAGAACGTCTGCAACTGGATTAAGGTAAATTAAAGTGATTTTTCATTGTATTAGTAAATTTCAGCTTTGTGTTTTCAGGTGTGGGCTGACATGAGATCGAAAACTAGTTTTATGGCCCCTATTATGTGTGGCAACTGGGGTCTATGTAGCTGCTGCCTGCTGGTCTTGTAGTCATTGCAACCAGTGTCGTAATTTGTATAATGTATAGCGATTAATCTCAATATACAGAAAAGCGCAGAAAACATCAGAATTTACTTTTTTGATATAAACATTTCGAAGTAATTGACAACTTTGTTCCAATGTGTTTAACAATTTATGTGAACAAAGAACAAACTCGTCGTTGGCGGGAAACAGAAAATTCAGCTACTAGACTCAGTAGCCTCAGTACCTAATGCGAATTTAAGTACATATATTGGCCATCAGTCGCCCGACACAATAGTGCCATTAAAATCTGTGTTCGTATGAAAAAGTAGCTTATGTCGAAAGGTTGGCTTTAGTATAATGCGGCATTCCTTTTATTCTTTAAACGACAAGGAATTTTTTGATGAGACTTAATAAGAATATTGACTTGCTAGTATCGGAACTATTTCTTGCACGTTTATTTGCTAAAAGTTGTTCAACGGCTCAGCGCCAGCGAGTCACTCGCAATCGTATGCTGCAAATGCCGATTTATATTAAAGTCAGCCTTTCGACCTAAGCTACTTTTCCATACGAACACAGAAATATTTGAAATAGATTTGGTTCGAGTGCATTGCTGCAACAGGCCTGACAAATTCCCCAAATATTTTATATGTCAAAATACATTTGAAAGGCTACATTAACGGCTCCACTACGCTCTCTTCCTCTGATGGAATCGTCGAACCATACATAACTCCGTTGTACTCAGCTTCACAAAGTTTTTATGGACTCTCTTTCTTCTTCACTTAATTTTAATTTGCACAAATTAAGCACACTATTTAGTTCAGTCCCATTGTAATAAACCCGCTTTCTTTCTTTTATTTTAATTTTCTCAATTTTTAAACAAAGCTTATCAGCTGTCGAAAATACACTATTGTGAACAACGTAAACAAGCGAAATTCACAATAGCGCTATTCTTCATCGAATGAGCGTCATAATACCAAATGAAAATTCGTTCGATCAGCACTTTCGACCACAGGCAAAGATTGAATGTACCTCATAATAGAGGCGCAGATACCGGAATAAACGTAACGGTATTTTAAAGCTTTTGAGATGGAAAATTCCGGAAAAATTGTCTCATTGGATAAAAGTAATTGTCTTGACTATCAAAAATTGGTTTTAAATTTTGCTTTTTTTTTGAGTATTCTACACAAATTTTTGCTTTGAAAACTTTCTGGTTTTGAAAGATATTTCAAGGTCAACCAGCCTTTATATTTAATTCGCTCTCTGTTCTCGTTGCCGAGATATTAGATTAGATGGGGAAAGTGGTTGGCCAAGAGTAAAAAGAATTTTGAAAGGCGTTGCTTTGTTGTTGCTATTTTGTTGTCATAACAAAAATATAAAATTGACTTTACCCATGCTGGTTCGGTAAGCAAAGGTCTAAACCAATAGATTTTTTTTAATATAACAATGTAGCTTATGTTTGTTCATTAAAGAAATCTTTTCATGCATTAAAAACTAAGCAAAACACACTTTCCGACAAAGTGAGAAGATGATGCATTTTGGCACGAATTTCCGTGGCCCTTTAAAAATTTGGTTTGTGGACAAGCCGGTCTTCATCGTCCTTTTCCATTCCATCTGCTTCGAGTTTCTCTATGCTTAACAAACAGAGACAGAAACTCAATCTAAAATCAAATCAATGCACTTAGGGCCAGTTTCAGATGAGCAATTTAAGTGCCGATTGATGATAAAAAAATATTCAATTTCATATCATATATGTACATATTTAAACTCTATTTAATGTGCAATGTCGGCTATTTAAATATGAAAAATGCTGATTTTGAATGGAGATTCAAAATTAACTTAAACGTCATTTAATTCATTTTTGATGCTATGAATCCCCAAGTTTGATTATAATACCGATTCGTCATTAGCTTTAATTAATTGTTTAAGCACTCAATGTATTTGGTTACTTATTTGAATTTTTACTATATTTAATTTATTATCGGTATTTTACATATTTTTAAAGAAGTTTTTTTAGCTGTGGTTTGTGTCGCTAGCAATAAACTAGAATGAATACAATACAATTTTCATAAAACATTATGTCCCAATACAGAATATCGTTTACAAAATACCACAAAACATTTGGAATTTGAAAAATTAATTTAAAACTTAAACACACACATACAATCAACATACAAAATTAACATCAAATCACCCCACTATCTAGTTTTACTTCCGCTTCCAAAAATAACAGAATTCATACATATTTACAAGTACACACATATCAACATAGGTTTTGTTAAAGTGAAACAACATTATGCTGCTAAAAAGGGCACTCCCTCATTCAGCAGCATATTATTGTTGTACTTTATCGCTAAGCTCACTTGTCACACTTTAATTGGGGAGCTAAAGTAATAGCAAGCTTTTAAGCGAAAATGCGGCATTAGATAACGTGGTTAGGCTTGAACGCAAGCGTGGAACTTGAAATAACTCAAGCGATGCTTAATCGGCTTTCATCGTTTTTTTCTGCATTTCCCGAAGCCATTGACACTGAACAAAAGATTGTATAACTTTTCAACAACGCACAGCATTCGTTTTCAGCTAATTTGAAAACATAATTGCATATTTGGAAAATATATGTATGTATACTGCCTAAGCATAAAACTGTATAAAAGAGGGAGAGAAGAAAGCGCGTGAACATTTCTTAAAGCTAGCATAAAGATTAGAAAATCCACTAATTTTAAGTTACTTAAGTGCGTGATCGCCAAATATATATATATCTGTATCTGTATATCATCTGTCTGTTTAGATTAATAATATTTAAGTGTATAACACACTCCCAATTTTCTTTTAGATTTAAATTAGCGAAAAAAATATCTAAGTGTATATGTATGTATATAAAAACGTTAAATAATTTTTAAAGTTTACAGTTAGAAATTAAGAAATAAAACCGTTAAGTTTAAGTGCTGGCTGCAGCATTCGAAGCCACCGCACTAGCTGTTGTTGGCTCCTCTTTGACTAAATTTGCCGCCATCTCGGCGCCTATGCGTGTGTCACTTTCGACGCTTATGTTGCTATCAGCTGCTTTCGTATTGAATTCATCAAGTATCGCGGGTTTTATTATTACTGCTGCAGCTTCCATGTCCTCCAACAATGCTCTCGCTCCCGCTCCTGCTGCTAATTGTTGGTGTTGTTGTTGTTCTTGTACCCTTTGTACTGCCACCTCAATGCCTGTTAGCTTTTGTAAGCTATGCAATGTTTCCTCGTTAATAGTATGTTCCGGTGAGATATTCTCTTTGATTTCTTGTTTCACTTCGGTGGGTATGAGCGTAACGTCGTGCTGCTCTGTTGGTGGTAATGTACCGTTACCATCAACGCCTCCTGATAAAAAGCCTCCTGTTGTGACACCTGAAACGCTAGTTATACCAGCTAATGTATTTGTTGTTGTTGCAGCTTCATTACCAAATGAGAGATTTTGACGAAACACCTTACTGAGCTGCTGCGAGGCATGGACGAATTTTTGCAAGAGCTGTTGCTGGGAGGAGGCGTCAGTCAAGGCGCAATCGGACAAATTGAAGGCTGTAAATAAATTGAAGGTTTATTTTATGAAACTTCTTTGTAGGTATATAATGTAAAATATAAGCATAGTTCATAAGTTAAAAGCTAAAACTGGTCTAACACTGCTTGAACTTTAATTTCTCATTAAATTCAAATAATTAGACTAGCCCGTGATATTTTAAATTAAATTTTAACTTTTCCTATCATTGCCAATCCAAAACCCGATTATAATCGGTTATTTTCTTTTCGTTAACGATTTAATTGTATCAAATTTTTCTTTCGATTAATCGAACGATTAGCCGGTTAGTTTTCAAAATAATCGAAAACAAACCATCAAAAATTTACTACTTTACTCAGGCAAGAGCGTACGAAACAAAATTACGGAATCAAAAATTGTATAACAATAGCTACATACGTTTATCCTTGATTTATTGCAATTTTTTTATGTGAAACATAATCTGTACACCGCCATACAAAAATTCCAAAAGTCAAGTGTAAGTCCTAGCTACTTCAAGCTGGTACTCTATTAAACTCAAATTTAATGAGCTATAAAACTACATAAGTACTCAAAATCTTTCTAAGAAATCTAATGAACAAGCTCGAGATTCTTACGAAAGTTTGTTGAATTTTTTAATATTGCACGAAGTTCGAAAGTTCGATTAATACAGTTTTTGTTAAGGAATGAACTATCTTTTTATAAATAAAGCTTTAATTAAATAACAAAAAAAAAATATTGTGGTGCGCTTATAATTTTGAAATGGGGTGCATTACGGACAGTAAACTACTTTTCAACCTTTTACTTATTGGTTTAAGTTCGTTTTTAATTTTCCCGATTGCTTACGCTTTTAATTCATAGCTTAAGTTTCCACAATTTAACAAGAAATGCATCCTTTAATGAAACAGCCATTTTTTTATAACTTACTAAACGGTTTTTATTTTAATTTTATTTTTTTTTTTTCATTTTAATCGAAACGAGCTATTAATCGGTTAGTTTTCTGCAATTAACAATCAAATGCTTTCCATTAATCAATTAGTCGATTATTAAATTGCTTGCCATCACTAGCAATCTGCTAAACTATCTAAATTTTGCATACTCCATTTAAAATTTTGACTGTTACGGCCGTTTCACACGATTGGCACATCTGTACAATGTTTTATGCTGACCCATTGCACTATGAGTAATTTGATCAGTTTGTGTGGCAAAAAGTCGTTTTTCCGACTTGCAAAAATAAACTTTTTGTCGTTGTTGCGGCTCCTAAACCCCGCTCGGGTCGGCTCATCCATCAACGTTGTATCAGGCTCAGCTAACGTGGGGCCCAGGAAGTGTGCAACTTCCATACGGAATGTCCATAGGGACAGGGGCGTTAGCTGAGTGGAGTTTTGTGGGTATGCGAAGAGGTGCCGTGAGTCATGTGGCAACTCTCCGCATGCCGGGCACTCATTGGGCACATATGCGTATACTCTGCTCAGGTACGAGTTTAGCCTGCTGCAGTAACCAGAGCGAATTTGGGATATTGTGGAGCGAGTCCCGAGGCAAAAAAAAACTTTGTCTCGGCCATATCGGGTGGTTGTGTGCCCTAAACGGCAGTCGGGAGTCTATATAACTCAAAACCGACTCCCTGTGAATGCCACTTAAGGCCTGTCGGTATCTAGTTGGGTCCAGAATTTGTGTGTTACGAATATCTGGACTTCGTCGGTCTTTTCGTACAGATACCTCCTGACGTGCCTTGGCGAGGGCTCTTCTGCAAGCAGTTGTCAGTTCGGGTGCCCACGTCTGTGGCACCCTACTAGGAACTGCTTGAAGAGCATTGTGTTATGCTCCCTGACGGGGACCACCTGGCCCTCGTCATGAAGGCGGTGTTAAGGGGCCATCAGGAGGCATCCTGCCGCGGTTCGTAGTGCCGTGTTTTGGCATGTCTGTAGTTAGGTCCACTGCGTCCTGCTAGTCCCCGGCGATCACGCGGGCGCTGCATAGTTTAGGATCGGGCGGTCAATCGCCTTGTATGTTGCCGTTTCTTTGTCTTTGCCCCAGGTGTTGCCGTCAAGCGACTTGCGGGTCTTGTTCTGTGCTCGGTTGACAATTGCGGTTGTATGCGTCGAGAAGGTGAGCAGACAATCGGAGGTAGGTCCGAGGATTTTCGGGTTATTCCCCATCGGAATTGGTTCGCCAGCGACGTGAATACCCAGCTGCAGTATGGCCTAATTCGTCCAGGTGTTAAAAGGTGTTGCCGAGGATTTCGTAGGAAGAGGGTTAGGCTTCTTGCAGTGAAAGTTCGGACAGGTAGTCGTTTACTTTCGAGCACAAGTCATCAATTCCATCCCGGACGCCATTATCGAGCAGCATAAGAGGCAATCGAGACTCCCTCTGGTCGTTGAAGAAGCTTTGATATATAGTAATTAAACAGCAATGGGAAAAAAATCTGGTTTCGGTTAAGGCCGCGAGTTATCTGAGTGTTTACGGCCTTAAGTGCTCTTGTTGTGCTGTGCCATTTACGGAACCCATGCTGATGCCTCGCTGGGGTCCGGTGCTTCGTGTAGTGCGGGAGTTTCAAGGCCTCCAGTGTCTTCTCTACTGGGGAAAGGAGAGTTATCGGAGGATAAGACTCTTCCTTGTTGGCCGGTTTCCCCGGGTTGAGCAGTGCGACCACCCTCCCCATTTTCTAGATGTCTGTCTACTCCCGTGGGACTCAATTGTGCCATGGCTTTGGAGGTCTTCGCCTTCCAGATGGCTACCTGAACTCCACCGCTGGCGAAAACAAGAGGTGCACTAGGTGTTGACAATTTGTGCAGCCTTCTGGTCACTTTACGTTTGGCTTTGAACGCCGGAAGATCCAGCGTAAATTGTCGGCTAAAGTGGCTGTCGTCACGCTTCGTCAAGTTGGAGAGTGACCTCACGGTTGACCGAAACTTGCTAACACCAGAGGTGAAATTGCAGGTCTTAAAGTGCTCTTCCCGCTTCTTCCGCTTATTTACGTTCACTAGTTGTCGCATCTCCGTGTTGAAATCTCTAATGCAGGGATTTCCGCGATCGGCCTGACGAAGGTTGTGACGCTCATCACTTGGTACAGCCGCTTTGGCCGGAAAATTCGCATGGGGGTCCGAGTTGCGGAACTTACGCTCACCTACGTGAATGTCGGTTGATTAGGGGAGGCCAAAGAAGGTGCTTTCAGTAACTTCCGCGAAGCCGTTCCAATCAGCATTGGAAAAGTTGACATAGGTTCGGTGTTCCGCGGAAGCAAAGTTGGCTGGTTTATGACTATGGGCAGATGGTCTGATGCTGCCCATAATCCTGGTGGGTGCGTCGTCGTTCACTGTGCAGAATGTCGAATCTTCTATCTGCTCAGCCAAGTGTGTTCTCCTATAATCATTCAACGGCTTGAATTTCAACGATCGTGGTGCACGTTAAAGTCACAGACTACCATACGGTTTTCACCTCTGAGGAGCTCACCTACATATTTCGAGCTCGACATTGCCTGACCGGATAGCAATACCCTGACATTCTAGGATGGTAAGTAAGCCTATGGTCGATGTCTGCTTCGATGACACGATTTTTTTTCCAAAAACGAAAACACCGTTACTTGGTTTGAAGTTTTCTCTATCAAATACCAAGGACAAACAAGTTTATCTAAGTTTATCTGGCATAGATAAACTTTTTGTCCTTGGTATTTGATAAAGAAAACTTGAAACCAAATAATGGTGTATTAGCAGGTGGTTAAAACCGTTTTCGAATTTTTGTACTATTTTTTAGCTTTTTTCTAAATTTTTCTAATCATGTAAAAAATAAACAAATATATAGAAAATAAAGAAAAATTTAATTACTTTTAAGATCTATAAATGGTATTTTCTTTTCTTAAATATTTTTAGGGAAAAATATATATTTCTGACATAACCCTTAACTTTTTTTTTTTCTTAGAAATGAAAATTAAAAAACCTTTTAAAATGTTGGCCGTATTTCGTCGTGTTTAGAATAACAAAAGAGTGTAATTGTAATTTTGCAATTTCTGCGAAAATTACATTATTTGTATGTATTCTTGGCACTGACAGTAAGTGAACTATTTACCATTTGGAAGGGAGAACTTAATAACTTCGTTGCTGCAAAGGCTGCTCCTTTTAACTTTACAACAGACAAATTAAACAAAAAATTGATTGTCAAGATTAGGACAAAGGCGAATATTTTACCATCATCGCATTAGATAATCTCAGGAGTTAAAAGCCCTTCCGAAAGGCCTTCCTGAGAGTCAAGAGACCTTCCACTCTACATTCCTTTCTCCTTTCTTTTCACTTCCGAGTGAATTTGAGTCAAGTTCGCTTTGAATTCAAATTGGCTGTGATTGAAATTCACTCGGAAGTGAATTGCAGAACCTGCCCGAATAAAAATTTATGCATTCGCGTAAATTTGAAATGGATGGCAATCAAGGAAGCACTTTTTTCAGCCCTCTTTGGGTAGGCCTCTTAGAATGGCTTTACTTAAGAAGGCGGCTTCTAACTTCAACATAATCAATCAAATACGAGACCTGCTCATCGACAACGTTTCATCTACACGACTGCTTTGGATACCGGGTCACGCTGGGATTTATGGCAATGAAATGGCCGACAAATCAGCAAAATCAGCTTCACACGCACCGGTTACTATGGAATACGCTCTAGAGAAGAAAGACTTACAAGCGAGATTAAAACGACAGCTCCTCGAAAAATCGAAACAAGACTGGCTATTGTATAATCACCACCACTATACACTTATCAATAGAAATTTCATAGCGCCACAATATCCATCTGGATTACCGAAAAGGCATATACAAAACTTCTCTCGTCTACGCTTAGGCCATACAATAGACACCCATGAACATCTTCTGAAAGGCCAACCACCTCCAATATGTCCACTATGTGGAGGCAACCTCTCCTTAAGCCATATCTTCGCACACTGCCCTGCCCTCGGAGCAGCCAGACATCAACACCTCAAAAACAATTGGATTGAAATCCTCAAATCACCTACCACAGAAAACATAAAAAGCATCAACAATTACATCAGCCATATAAGAGCCCGTATATAACAACAATCACCAAATTTATTCAAATATATTCTAACTATTTTTCGTAATTTTATTTAACTTCTAACATCTGACAAATTATATATATATATAATGCACCACGAAAGTAAATGTAAATAGAGCCGATAGCCATGGCAGCTAATGCTCTTTCCTTTATATTAGCCAATTAATTAATTAGTTTGTTAATAAATAATAATAATAATAATAAAATACTTAAGAAGGCATACATAAATTATCTTCTGGGATACGATGGGGCTACCAACTTACAACAAATTTTAGGCAAACGCCCAATCGTCGGACTCAGCTTAAGATCTATATGTAATTTATTTGTCAATGTTATTGTGGCTTGTTAACATTTTTATTTTTAATATTTTTATTGAGCTTTGTACCACGATTGTTTATTAGGAAAAATTGAAAAAGCAACAAAGTCTAAGCGGTAGAAGTTATAGCACTATTTCGGAGATCACCACATCTCCTCATCAGACTTCTTTTTCTAGACTTCAGCAGGGATCGAACCTGCGAATTCGATGTTCAAAGTCAGAAGCGTTAACCACTGAGCTATGTACATCCCGTAAACTCTTGTTGCTAATTCATTTTCCTTATTCAACCAACTACTATCAAGTGCAGCTGATTTTCCGCTATTTATTATTATTTATTGTGGCTTATNAATGGATGTATAGAATTGACAACAACAACCACGCTGTCGAGTTTAAATAGCGGCAAATCAGCTGCACTTGATAGTAGTTGGTTGAATAAGGAAAATGAATTAGCAACAAGAGTTTACGGGATGTACATAGCTCAGTGGTTAACGCTTCTGACTTTGAACATCGAATTCGCCGGTTCGATCCCTGCTGAAGTCTAGAAAAAAGAAGTCTGATGAGGAGATGTGGCGATCTCCGAAATAGTGCTACTCCTACTGAGAGTAAATGTTGTATTATTATCGGGAATTTGGTTACTGGCAAGTTACGAGTTTTTTGCTGGAAAATACGAAAACATAGCCATAGTATAGTTTAAAACTATCCCAGTAATTTTGTTTAAGCATCTTATAGCAGATAATCCTATATTTATTCAAACGCAGACATATGTAGATGATAGTGTTGCAAATGTGCTAGCTTCAGTCTCTACTAATTTCGGTTGCGAACTGTGTAGACATATCCCTACTAGGTTGCAATCTTCAGCTGGAAGATTCTAAACTGCCATGTAACTCCCTTGTTTTTGGTACTAAGACTTTCCAATTTTTATTGAAGGTGTATTTTAATATATCCTACCAAAATCTGTGAAAACGCAGTTTCAAAAAAGTGTTGGTTAGGGCCTTTGGGAATTGAGGTAACGATATTTACATTTCCTTACGAAAATGTATATAGTCCAGGCTCTATTTGCATTACTTGTTCACTCTTACACTCAAAATTACTCACCTGTAGCATTGTTAATGGCAACTGTTGTGTTGTTACTGTTAGAGGGGATGGTAGCTGTGGGATTTGTCACCACCGCCTGCGTTGGCGGACCAATTGCTGCTACTGTTACTGCTGTTGGTACTTGCGTCTTATTTTCGGGCGATGAACTACGTTGGAAAAATAGCGATCGCAACTTATCCACAGCACCAGGATTTGCCATCCACGACACTTTCCGTTGGCGCTGTTGTGACTCTTCCGTTGCCACCGCTGACGTTGGTGGCGTAGACAATTCGGTCGTCGAACTTTTGGTGAGCGTAATATCATTATCATTATCGTTAAAAACAGCAAGCGGGCAACGGGTGCCAGTTGCATTTAATAGTTCATCGCGCAAACTTAGTTCACCGCCAGCGGCACCGGCACCACTACCACCAATGCCATCGGTGGAGTCAGACGAGCTGGTGGAAAAAATTGCCGACAACGGCGAGGATGTCGATGTGGACGAAGAAGAGTTTGAATGTAGCGATGCTGGCGATGTCGAAGATGAAGAGGACGATGACGAGCAGATTGGCGATAGCGAATTATTGTTGGAATTGTGGGAGGTGGTAGTAGTGGTGTTGCTGCCCGCATTTTGACAGCCAGTACTAGTCGGCGCATTAATGCTTTGCGACGAAATATCTTGTATTTGTTTTGATTGCAGTGGTATTTGTGTTTGTAGTTGTGATTGTTCTTCTTCTTGTTGTGTTTGTTGCGTCTGCATTTGGGCTGTGGCATTTGTACTATCAACTTTTTTTAGATTAACATTCTGACTAAAATCAAGAATATTTGTGCTACTGTTGTTGCTACTGGATTCCGCAATAGCGGGTGTAGGCGGTGTGACGATTAATGTAGTAGCTTGCACAACGCTAATTTGAGAGACAACGTCGCCGCCGCTATTGGAAGCAGTTGTTATGGTTGCTGCTGTTAAATCGTGTGTACGTGCACCATTTTCCTCAACTCCTTTTTTGTCAACTGTCGCTACTGGTTTTACTGCTGCAGCGCTAAAAATTATTAGCTTGGCACTTTCGGGCGCATGCTTCGCGATTGGCGTAGGTGGCAGATGAATCGGTGGTGTAATTGGGGGCAACGAGCGGCTTGCTAATGGCACCCGTGGATCTTCGTAGATCTTTGATACCATAAAACGTGACCGAGGCGACGCCGAGAAACGTTTAATTGATTGAGTGGATGACGTGACTGTGGCCATTGAAGGTAGTGAGCTAGAAGTGGGTAGGAAACATGTCGCAGGAATTGAACTTGCCGAATTCTTGTAGGACATGTCAGCAGGCATGGATATGCTGCTGCTATTACTATTGGTGGCTAGCGAAGATGTAGACGACGCGGCTGAAGGTGGGGTTTGAGCTAGTGGTGAGGTCAGCGGACTGACTTCAGTAACGCGAAATACTTGAAAACGACTGCGATTGGGCGAAGATGAGGGTGAAATTGTGGGTGGACTGGGCACTGGCGACCGCAGACGGGCACCTGTTTTGCGCTTCGCATCCAATTTGGTATTGACCGCCGATGTTGGTGTAGTGCTAGATGCCATCACAGTAGTAGTAGTCTCAACCAGTGGGCGCGTATGACAGGTCAATGAAATTTTTCGTGAACCCAAGTAGTAACCACTGCGTCGCTTATTAGCCACGCCGCATACGCTATTGAGTGATTTGTCCGACTGCAATTGTGTTTGGGTCTTTTCATTGCGTGAACACATTGAACGTACGTTTTCTAGAACGCGCGTATAGTCCATGTGCGCTTCGCTGCCCACCTGGTACAAAGAGTAAGAAACCAGAGAAAGATATATGTAAAAAGCAGTAACAGTGGGAGGATTGCGGTAAAGAATTATTGAATTAAAATAGAGATGCATATAAGAAAGCAAGTAAGCAGCAGCGAATCAGATTATTTTTTTATTGAGGGGACATAACGCGAAGCGCAATTTATAAGCAGTAACTAAGCCATTCGCCCATACATTTAGTCATTTTTGTATAGCATTATCGCGATTACTTACGCATTCTTGTTTCTTCATCGACTGTGGTTGATATGCATCCGTGACATGGGGTACTATTTGCAATTTTTCAAACTTGAACACAAAACATGCAAAGTACAAAAATGATTTTCGTTTCGTTATCATAATTTAAAAAAGAAAAACAAAATCGTTTTAAATCGAAAATGGAAACATGGAATATGTAACTACATACAAAAGAACAAACAAAGTAGGAGCAAACTGGCAAGAACTGAAAAACGATCAACGAACGAGCTTGTCTGTAAGTGTCGTTTCACACACTCCGGTTTCCAGTTAATCGACAGCAGGTTTGCCGGCCCAAAGTGTATCCGGCAGGTTCTGTAATTCACTTCCGAGTGAATTTTAGTCACTTTGCTGTGAATTCAAATTTGCAGGGGTTGAAATTCACTCGCGAGTGAATTCCAGAACCTGCCCGTTTGTGTAAGTTATAAAACTTTCACTCAAGTCGGGTACATAAATGTGTGCCGAAAAAACGGCAACTGGAAGAGTGGAACGCATAGATGAAGATGCTACGATGATCATAGATACACCTCGGTTAGTTATTTCATTTTGTACTTAATGCCGCTTATTATGATCGCTCTTTGAGTTCAAGTCAACAAAACCCGTTAATACCAATATTTATAAAGTTCAAAAACCACTCCAAAACTCAAAAATAAAATAGTTCAACTCAAATACATCTAAATCCCCACTTACCGACAACCTCTTTGGCTCATCATCAATATCGATTTGTGTTATTGTTGTGTTCGATTTGAGCACCTCGGCAATTTTTGTTAAACTCTCCACCTCCAATTTATTGTCGCGTATATCTAGCCGTTGCAGCGTGCTGTTCCCGCCGAATGTTAATATTGACGCCAAAGTTTCAATACCATTCGCACTCAAATGTGCACTCTGCAGTCCTAGCGTTGTCAATGTGGTATTTCGTATGAGACTATCTTTAATACGCGTCACGAAGTCATTCGACAGACAATTTTTGCCAATATTTAGCAATTCCAGCGAGTTGGTCTCGGCCAATAGGTGGGCTATATAGTATCCAGCTTCTTTACTTAAGTTATTATTCCAGAGCGCGAGTGCCTTCAGGCCACCCGGTGCCTTCACCGCCGGCTCTATACGCGGGTCCGATTGACGTTGCTGCCGCGTGAGTGTGTCATTTTTCGTCAATTTTTCATTGAGCTGTGAAGAGGTGGAAAAATTTAGATCGCTACTTGTGCTACCGTCCAATGAGTTATCGCTACATAGACTGTCCGAGCTCTGAGAGCGATGGCGAGTAGCGGGTGTAATGAAGGTAGTCGAAGACTCTGTGCGACGCATGCCATGACTAGCTCCGCCAGGTGATGTCGATGGCGGTGGTGGTGTCGGGATCGGGCTATGAGTTAGTGCCTCTTTATCCTTGGCCACCATATTATCAGAAGCAATAGTGACTTTCGGCAGTGCAGGTAGTTCATTTAAAGGATTTTCATGATTTTCCTCATCGGACAGGATATTACCAGCTTTTGCTTTTGTTTCTGTAGCTGAAGACTTTTCACCTTCCGCCATCTTCACGACACTGGCATATGTGTGGGATGTGAAAGCCGTATTAGGTGTGATTGTTCGACAACTAGCATCTGCATTATCGTCTAGTCTGAATGGGACACCACCTAGTTGTTGTGTGTGCAGCGATGATGGTGGCGTTGGCGTAGAAGTCGGCGTTACACCTGCATCTGCCAAATATTCAGTAGACTCAGTAGCAATAGTGCCAGTTTCAATGGCCACACCCTTCCCAATGTCATCCATTGGTACACCGTCAAAAGATGATGACAGCCGACTGTATTCCTCCGGCAGATGTCGGCTAATATCGCCCTCGGAGGCACTTTCAAATGCAGAATCGGTGCTGTGTGTGTCATCGTAGTCATCGGTCAGCTTTGTATTCTTATTTACATCCAGAGCCTTCGATGGCAATTGTTGCTGAAATTGTGCTGTTGTCTGATCAGCAGAGATACGATCGCCACTAATAACGCCAGCAGCAGCAGCTGGCGCTTCTGCAATGGTGCAATCTCCTTCACCAGCGGTCACTTCAAAAACACCGCCGATATTTGGCGCATTTGGTTGCTGAAGTGAGAGCAGATTCTGGTTCTCATTATCCTGATCTTGTGTGAGCGGCCTCCCTGAATCTTTGTAATGCCTGCAGTCGTCTTCATTACCGCTAGTGTCAATAAACGCGCTATTTGCAGTGTTATTATTGCTATTGTTATCATCATCACTTAGTTTTGACGTTGTCGATGTATTCTCACTTTGATCATTGCTATTAGAAGCGACCACTTCAGCACCACTACCATTGCTGCCATTGTCAGAAGTTGTATTGGGAGGGTCTGTGTCCGAAGATGCAATATCTGTAAAACAGTTGCGAATCATTTTGAAGAATTGTATACTTCGTAACGTAAAATATAATCTCAGCATTGAATTATATACAAAGATAATTAATAATAATAAAATATAAAACCAAAAAAGGGTTGGCTTTCCATTACATCGGTTTTTGCGTGTTTTCGCAAAACTATCACGAATTTCCAGTGCTTTAGCTACAATACAAAAACAAAATATGTTCGATTCTAAGTTGACTTGTTGAGTAATCATTGATGATTTTTTACGTAAGTTAAGCTAAGTCTACACTAACTAGACCAGGCTTTCCCAAAGTGGGTGCCGCGACGTATACGTGGGGTGCCGCTAGTGGCTAGAGTATACTAGTGTTGCGGGTAAATTCTTTAAACTTTCCATACACAACGCAAGCGGTTTGATCAAACTTCAACATGGCGCACAGTGTAAGATTTGACCCATCTAGCTGCTTTTAATTCTGTAATTCGAAAACTATTGAAGATAGATTAATGAAATTTTGCACAAAGTACGTTATAAAATAGGCGAAGCTTTTTACAAAAATTAAAATTGGTAATTTATAGTTACTGTCACGCCACCCTATTATATAACTGCAATTTTTAAAAATTGCAAAAACTGAAATATTTAATTAACTACAAAGGCTAAAATGCCCAAAATTTATATTTAGAATTTCCCTATAACAAGGAATTATAAACTGGCAGAAATGGACTTACAAATAAATATATTTTTTTTAATTATGGGCGTGGAAAATATCGATAAAAAAGTCAAGTTGGGTCAATAAAATTCCGTTATAAGTTCAATATTTTTTGCTCTATTTACAAAAATGGGATACCATTGGAAATGTAATGAATCGGGCTTTCTCTATTCAAAGCAAAAATATAAGAATTTGTCTCGGTCGAGATAAAATGCAAATGAATTACTCGAAGAGTTTAAAGTCTAAGAGGAGTGGCAAATAAACTGAGATACAAACTTTATCGAATAGTGGCGGATAACGAGTTTTCGGGTCTAATAAAAATAATAATTTGCTAAACATAAGTCTAAGTCAACATCGTTTTACTTTAACATGAAATACTCAGTCCTAGTTTACTAAATTCCCAAAAATGTATATTCATTAAAAAGATCATACCTAAAAAAAATAAGACCAAAATGATATTTTAGCAATTGTTGCATAAATCACATAACACCGACAAATTAAACATTTAGATTCAGTTTAAATGTTATTGCGCTCAGTAATTTTCCAAATCAAACCCCGTCCCGCCATACACTTTGATTTAAATTTTTCAGTTGTTATTGTTTCGTCTTTATCAGGCATTTCTAAAAACATTCTTGACGTTGTTTTGAAATTTGGCGACATAAAATAATGTAATTAATCTGTTCTAGAATATGGAAATGATACACTGTGNACAATACAAAAACAAAATATGTTCGATTCTAAGTTGACTTGTTGAGTAATCATTGATGATTTTTTACGTAAGTTAAGCTAAGTCTACACTAACTAGACCAGGCTTTCCCAAAGTGGGTGCCGCGACGTATACGTGGGGTGCCGCTAGTGGCTAGAGTATACTAGTGTTGCGGGTAAATTCTTTAAACTTTCCATACACAACGCAAGCGGTTTGATCAAACTTCAACATGGCGCACAGTGTAAGATTTGACCCATCTAGCTGCTTTTAATTCTGTAATTCGAAAACTATTGAAGATAGATTAATGAAATTTTGCACAAAGTACGTTATAAAATAGGCGAAGCTTTTTACAAAAATTAAAATTGGTAATTTATAGTTACTGTCACGCCACCCTATTATATAACTGCAATTTTTAAAAATTGCAAAAACTGAAATATTTAATTAACTACAAAGGCTAAAATGCCCAAAATTTATATTTAGAATTTCCCTATAACAAGGAATTATAAACTGGCAGAAATGGACTTACAAATAAATATATTTTTTTTAATTATGGGCGTGGAAAATATCGATAAAAAAGTCAAGTTGGGTCAATAAAATTCCGTTATAAGTTCAATATTTTTTGCTCTATTTACAAAAATGGGATACCATTGGAAATGTAATGAATCGGGCTTTCTCTATTCAAAGCAAAAATATAAGAATTTGTCTCGGTCGAGATAAAATGCAAATGAATTACTCGAAGAGTTTAAAGTCTAAGAGGAGTGGCAAATAAACTGAGATACAAACTTTATCGAATAGTGGCGGATAACGAGTTTTCGGGTCTAATAAAAATAATAATTTGCTAAACATAAGTCTAAGTCAACATCGTTTTACTTTAACATGAAATACTCAGTCCTAGTTTACTAAATTCCCAAAAATGTATATTCATTAAAAAGATCATACCTAAAAAAAATAAGACCAAAATGATATTTTAGCAATTGTTGCATAAATCACATAACACCGACAAATTAAACATTTAGATTCAGTTTAAATGTTATTGCGCTCAGTAATTTTCCAAATCAAACCCCGTCCCGCCATACACTTTGATTTAAATTTTTCAGTTGTTATTGTTTCGTCTTTATCAGGCATTTCTAAAAACATTCTTGACGTTGTTTTGAAATTTGGCGACATAAAATAATGTAATTAATCTGTTCTAGAATATGGAAATGATACACTGTGTGGCGGCCAGAAAATCAAACAATTTTGATTTTTATTAAAATTACCTTCAGCGGCTCGTCAAACCCCATACACAACACAAAGGGATATTTGGCCACTTGTGTGGTGTATTTCGCTCTTTAGTGTAGTTCCCTAGTACGTTTTGTCAACGATTAATTGAATCAGAAAATTTTCAGAAAATAGCCGAAAACGTACGCTTTTCACAACAATTTTCGGTGCTTTTGTAGACCTAATCCGCCTTTCATCCAGTTTTCTTCCCGTTTTTGGATTAATTTTTGAATTTTTTGCTGGCTGGGCTGTTAACAAGCGCAGCAGCTTCGCGCTCTTGTACAGCGAGGCGACGAATAACTGTTACCCAGGTTTTTTTTTGAGAAATAAAAGGGTCCTTTAAAGATTTTGCGAAAAAAGTATTTTATTGATAATTTTCCACAGATTTTACTTTAGTTGCATTAATTAGTTTTTAAATTTTAATCCTTATTTACATTTGCCAGCAGTGTAAACTTTGAGAGAAAAGTTCATTTGGCACGCAAGTCTTTTTCAGGTGTATTTTTTCTTAGGCTTTGTATAAAAAAAGTACAAAAAAGAAAAAAAAACTGTATAAGGTTGGTCGAATGAATGACCGTCCTAGTCACCAGTTCCGAGTCTATTCGATTTTTGAGTATGAGGCCTTAGGTTGGACAGAAGGGGGAGTATAAGGGACTCAAAATGGAGAAAATTAGCCTATGGTTACAGAAGATATGGAATAAATTAACTGACGAAGACCTGCGTGCTAAATGAACTTTTCTCTCAAAGTTTACACTGTTGGCAAATGTAAATAAGGATTCAAATTTATAAACTAATTAATGCAACTAAAGTAAAATCTGTGGAAAAATAACAATAAAATACTTTTTTCGCAAAATCTATAAAGGACTCTTTTATTTCTCAAAAATATCTGGGTAACAGTTATTCGTCGCCACGCTGTATATGTTACTTATTCTTTGGAACTTCACAATCTCATTGTTTCGAAAAGCGAATCAACACGATTTTAGAGGCAGTCGAGAACGAACTTATATAAAAGTTGGAGGTTTGGAAGTTGTTAGTGAGGTATCGACAAATTTGTACAGAAAAATAGTTTGAAATTCAGCAAGTGTGCGGACATTTGCAGTGGTTGGAAAATCGAAAGGAGGAGGATGTCTAGGATGAAGCAAGAGGCAGAAAACGCCACGAGAAGTCATTGTATGATCCGTCGGTATTCCCTGGTGACTAGTAAGATGCCGCCACTAGATTTAAAACCCGTATTGAATGACGATGCGATGATAACAGAGGCCTGCGAAATTAAAATACATCTCTGGTTATTTTCAAGCACGTCGAGATTTTTTTTATTGGTGACATGTATATTTTAGAATTTTTAGCAATTTACATGAAAACCCCATAAATAACGTATCTCTATATAACTTCGAAGTTAACGCCAAGAAAATTAATAACTGCCGGTTTCACCAGAAATTTAAATGGAAAATGATTTTTTAATTTCTATCAATTTCCAATAAAAATTTAAAAAATTCAATCATTTTTCACTTGAATTGCTTTCGTGAAATTGGCTGTAAAAGTTATTTTGCTTAACGTTAGCGCGCATTACCAGCGTTAACTTGGAAGGTTTAGAAAAAAACATTGTCGAATATTTTCCCAACAGTGATTCTAAGGATGTCTACCGCTGGATAACAAACCCGTTTTCATGTAACCTGAAAAGCAAACATACTGAGATGACAAATAAAGCTTTTGAAAGGTAGCATATTGAATATTAAATACTACGAAGGGAGCCAAGAGAGTTCTGGATGCAAGTATATGCACAAAACACTGCTGTTGGCAAGATTGCATTAAAAATACTAGTGACTTTTACTTTTACATTTCTATTTGAGACTTAATTTAAACAAATGCTTACATAAGCAAGTAATTTTTAAGCAAAAAACAAAATCGACTTCAATTCCCATATAAAAATTTTAGATTATCGTTAATCTCTTTATGATCCAATGATCGGATTTAAACCAAATTAGAATGGGACCACTTGTGAGGTAATCTTTCCTTTCCTTAAAAAAAAAAAAAGAATTATATTAATCGGTTAACGGGGTCCAAAGTTATGCGGTAGCATACATAAAAAAAAAATAATGATAAAAAAATATTCCGACGAACTGCTAACCTCTTCCTTTTTGGGTAGTCGGTTAAAAACAAATACACCAGCACGCTTTCAGCGTCAAATGATTTCGGGGTAAAATTGTCAAAGCTCCCAATAAACTTAAAGGCAATAATAAAATCATCAAAACAGTTTCAATCCTCACATTAAAACTAAAGGAGCATAAAGTTTGCATTGCGTTTTCTTGTTTTCGTAGACATTTGAAGATTAGGAGTGCCGTGAAATTTTTCTAGCACAAGGGGGCCGCGATGAAAAAAGTTGGGACACCCCTAAACTAGACTATAACTGAGCCTTAAATCTGGAGTTTTGTGAATTTACGTATTCCTACCATTACTAAAAAAGAATCCGTTGGTATTGATTGTGGTTGGGTTAACAAATGAAAAGTGGAAAAAGTTGGTAGCCACCAGCTTTGTACACTGGCGTCTGGTTCAAGTCCCATTGATCTCGTTGAAGAAATCTGATGAAACATGTGATAATCTCCGAAATAGCAACTATAACTTCTACCATGTGTAAATTATTGTTATTTTTGATAACATTTTTCATTAAAAATGATCTCAAGCCCAATATTTTATTGAACAATTTTTTTTTTTTTAACTTGAAACTATACTCGCGAATATTCGACCAAAATTGGAATTTCTCATATAATTGTGTTTAAAAACTTACCAATCAACGTTATTTCCTCCACGTTTTTCACTTTGCCGACTTTAATATCTGTCGGCCCTTCTACCAGGTGCGCCGCCATCACTACTCCTACCGCCTTCGTACTGGAATTAGACTTTTGTGTTTCGGCCGATGCGCTCGCCACCCCCACCGCACCGGAAGTTTCAAATATATCATCACTAGTTATGCTCGCATCCTCAGAACCGCATGCCGCTATAGTGTCTGTGGACAAATTGGACGCACCCTCCTCACTGCTGCTCTCGCTGTTCATCGATAACAATTTATCCAACATCGATTGACCACTGGGCGCATGCGCGCCATTCTTATGATTGCTTGACTTCACAGTGTCTTCTGTATCATCGTCACCGTCCATTTCATCCAATGATCCCACAACAGCATTCAACGTCTCCGCGCCTCCAACAACTGATGATTTACTATTTACTGCAGCATTCGCTGACGAAACAGTTCCTACATCTGGATTCGCATGTTGTTGCAGTAGTGTATTATCATTATTTGTGACTTTATCAGTGGCCAGTGCAGTGCTAAAGACATCCGAGGATTTGTCCACCGCAGCGTGTTTTTGTCTTTTGTCTGAGGCATTTTCATCGCTTTCACTATTCTCGACATTCTCTTCAGCGCTGCCTTTCCCGCTGTTGCTGAACGAATCACTGGTGTCGAAGTCAGTTGTCTGTGAAGCTTCAACCGATGACAAACTATCATCATCATCGATTGCAGATGATCGTTGAAGCATCGATCGCCGTTCCAGTTCATTGGATTGCAGTATTAGTGCTTCGACAATGTATAAGAGTCCCCTATCCCTAATATTGTTGTTACTTATATCAATTAGTTCGAGGTAATGATTAACCTTCAACAAATCACCAAGGGCTTCTGCATCTTTGCAATCCAAATCGTTATGCGCTAACCAGAGCTCCCTTAGCGTCGTATTGTGCCGCAATTTGAAGCCTAATAAAAAAGAGATATTATTAAATTAATTTCAAACAAAAACGCTATTAGCTTTATTTTTATCTATCCTTACACAATCCATCTAGTGCACCTTTCAATCCACAATGTTCCAATTTTAGTGTATGCAAATTAGATGCACTTATCGCCTGACCCAAACCATCAGCACTTTGCTTAGAAATTGGATTGCCTTGGGCGATTAGTACCCGCAGCTCTTCGCTATGCTTAACCATAGCCATACAGCCGGCCCAACCTCGCATGGTCATACCCTTCGAATTCGAAGAGATGTCCAATTCATGGGCTGCCTCATAATACTCAATCATTTCAAAGAGGGCGCTTGTCGCCCACTCGTCCAGGTCACAAGATGAGAGATCTATAAATTTGTACTGTACCTGAAAGTATATTGATTACAGGAAAAATTTGCTAAAGTATTTCCCGCAATCCTTCATTCAAATACAATAACGATTACCCGTTTGAAAATTTCTTCCAATGCTTCGCAATCACTGGCTGCCAATTTAATTGATTTCAACGATAACACCGGCTGACGTTGTTGTTTATTTAATTCAACACCCTTTAAGTGATCCAATACAGTCTGTAGGGGTTTTGTTTTATGTTTGCGGCATGACATCACATAGAGTTCGGCAATTTCAGAGATGCTTTTAACCAAACATGCTGAAATTGAGTGACAGATAAATGGCACATGTATATTATAGGTTTAGAAAAATGTTGCATATACTGGACCTACATTTTGGATACATGAACAAAGTCATCTTCTATTACTCTCTTTTATGATTGTTTCTTTTTATAGTTTGTTTAAACTTTGCTTATAAAATGGCTAAAAAAGCTTTTCTCTGATAGAACTCAAGACATTTTCCCCTAAGAAAGTTACTAAGGATGAAGGATCCCCAATTAAACGGAACCGTCTAACCAACAGGGAAAGCACCCAAAAACATTGGAAATAAGTTGAACATGTCCTCACAAGCAGAGGATAAGGAAAAATGTGTTTTTTCATATTTGGTGGAGTAAAAAGTCAATGCGTATGTTTGCAACAGATGGTGTTAGTACAAATTTGACAGCACTGGAGTCATTCACACATATGTGTGGCTTATGTCCCTGAATTGAATTTTATTGTCATTCGGCGATTTGGTTCAGTTTTGTAGGTTGTAGGTTTTACAAGTTTAGGATGCAAAAAATTCACGATGATCTAAAAGAACGACAGCTGGTTCATGGAAATCCACGGTGAAAATCTCGATATCAAAAGTTGGCATTTCGGTTAGATGCACCCGCTGCAGCGGATGGAGTCACCTAAGAACCTGCTCTGGCCTGGCCACATAGGGAGTGGGATAACAAGGTTTGTGGTCCCTTGTTGCTCAAGCCTTACTCGTGCAACCTGCGGGTGCAAATAAACACCCGAAGGACCCCCACGGCTTCACGGAACTAGCGGAACAAACGAACTCCCCGTTGCAGCCAACCAGCACCAGGCAACAACACACAAAGCTACAAGCGCAACAGAGCTAAGGTAGATCCTCACTTATCCCTCAACATAATCTTCTCGATCAATAAGCTTACCGACTTTGCGGACCACCACAGCTACGCCAACTTCGCCGAATTTACCGAGAGTGCACCTTCATCGCTCTTACCACACCTACAAAAAAGACTTCCGCAAGGTAGTGACTGTTGTAGCGGCAAACGAGCGTGGCCAGGTCCATCCTGCTGATCCCCACATTAGGGACCTTAATTTGGAGATTTAGCAGCTGGCAAACCAACACAAGCGGAAAAAGTGAGACGCGAATGATATGAGGAAGATTTGGTCAACCGTGAGGTACCGGACCAACCCAACGAGGCGCGACGACAGAGTGGAAATTTACTTCGGTGATCACGCCTCGTCGGACCCGAAGCGATGCGCGATGTATTTTAGCCGGCATTTCACATTGCCTCCTTCTGTGGGTAAGGTCAAACGTCGAGTGATCAGGAGTCTGCACAAACTCCATCTTACTTTCTCTAGTGGTTAAGTTCAGGGGATTATCGGTAAGAAAAAAGTCTTCAAAGCCATTGGTCCCGACGGAATATGCGTGCTGATTCTGAAAAAATAGGTCCAGCGCGAGTAGCATACTTGACCAAGGTCTACAATTTATTATTAGCCATCCACATAATTCTAGATATGTGGTAATCAGGGAGGGTTCCGACTACTAAAGCCGGGGAAACCAACTAACCAAGTGAAAACACTTGACGCCCTGCTGTCCCCGTACTTCATGTGTTGCCTGAGTTCAGGCGAAGAATCAACATGCGTCCGTAAAGTGCACAGCATCACCACCGCACTCAACGCCCAAACACCCAGATAAATCGGGGCCTTAACTCGCAACCGCATGTGTGAGAGAACAGTTGTAGTAGCGTTAGACCTGTCAACGTCGTTTGATACCGTTTTTCCTCAAGATCAAATAAATACTTATAAACATACTATGTATAAATACACTACTTTTAAGTAATTCAGTATTTCAAGTATTTACGTATAGGGTCAAGTGGGCCCCAAATTTACCAAGATTAATATTTTTCAATAATATTCAGGCAGCGCCGAGTTTTGCAATCGAAAAGTATAATGTGTAAATTTTGTTGCCAAATTGCAAATAGTTTTTTTTTTATCAAAAATTGAAAATTTTTGCAGTATTTTGGAAATTTTTATTTTTCTTTGAAATGAAACAATTTTTTTTGGGTGCACATTTAAAAAACATTAAACAATGCAATAAAATTATTTGCGTTACAAAAATATTTTTTTATGAATAATTTAATACTTAAGCAATCCCTGCGCCTCGTGGAGCAAAATTTTTAACAACAACTTATGTAATAAACATTTCTGCATTTATCTATGGAAAAAAATGCGTTTGGTCGGAATGAATTTTTATTTGCCAGTGAACCGGTTCGGGGAAAATTAAACTCATGATAAGGCTGAATATGTATATACAACGTTCCCACAAACGAACCAAACGGGAACAAAAGTGTTGAGAGCAGTTTGAACTGGAACAAAATGAGAACAAAGGATTCTGGAACGTTTCGGTAAAGAACAAAATGCGAACAAAACTCTCGGGAATGTTCTCAAGAAGAACAAAATGAGAACGAAGATATCAAGAACGATATCTGGCAGGATCAAATAAGAACTAAAGTCTGGGGAATGTTCTGCTAGAAAACAAAACGAGAACAAAAGTTTTGACAACTTAACGTTAAGAATGAGATGGGATGAAAAATCGTCATATGCACCGCGATCTCTAAAGTAATCTATTGTGTGTGGCCCTCCGCCGTATAGGGGGAAGGCTTTTAATGTAGCCTAGCACTTCCAAGGGCGTTTTATTCCAAATTTCAAATGGATTTAGTGTAGCACCACCCAAATGAGCTGGTCTGCAGCTAACATGAGCATCACATTCACAAAGAATGTGTTCTGGCGTTTCCTCGTCCAGCTCACAAAAGCGACAGACGTTCTGAAAGATTAATTTCACTGAGGTGATAACGAAGGGAACAATGACCCGCATAGTTGAGTAATTTCTTTGAAGGGCAAATAAATCGTTTGCCTTTTCTCTGCCCTACACATTCCATCCAGTGCATGTTGAACATTTTGTCTACCCAGTTATTTATGATCTCCTTTATGTGTGCTTTGGTGAGCCCAAAAGGTGTTGTGGTTGATTGTTAATTCTCCATTCCATTTATGGAACAATTCTTTTTTGATTAATTTTAATGTTCAAACATTTCACACCAATGGAAAGGTCTGAGAAAAATTTTGTTCTCGTTTCCATTCTTCGCGAAAAATTCGGAGAAGACTTGTTCTAGTTTCGTTCTCTGAAAGAAAGTTCCTGAGACTTTAGTTCCCAAATTTTTCTTCGAGAGAAAGTTCCTTAGACTTTTATTCCGGTTTTGCTCTATACCAGAATGTTAAGGAGACATTTGTTCCCATTTTGTTCTCTTAGAAATGTTCCCGAAAGTATTGTTCGCATTTTGTTCTCTTTGAGAACGTTCCAAAGGATTTTGTTCTTATATAATTCCCGTTGCGAACGTTCTCGACAGTTTTTTTCTCTCTTTCTTCTTGTGAAAAAAACCCCTAAGGTTTTGTTCTCATTTCGGTTTGGGTTTCTTAGTTCTTGTTCTTGGGAACAAAGCTACGAGAACGACATTTAGTTTCGATCATTCAAGATAGGAAGGAGCATGCATGTATGTTTGTGCTACTAGAAGAAACCACTTGACACTTCTACCTACTCAATTAAAGCAACTATCTAGCTAGACCTTGTGTAGAGGACAACATTAATTTTACCATTAGCATCCCCTCGATATTGTTATAAAGACACACCAATCAGCCCCTCAATGGGTTTTAATAGACAAGAAGAGAGTATGATTGCTCGAAAGTCCTTGGCAGGAGTAATGCCATCTCTTGTCAGTGACCTCAAAGGCTTAAAAGGCGCTTCTCCCGTGCGATTCATAACAGCCTTCCACGTTTTCGCAGAAATTCTCCCATGACTTATGGCACACGCAGCAATATTATTCTAACGGTTGGATTATACGCCACCCCGTAACAGGATAATACGTTGCAGAGATACAAGGTTGACGATCAACGCTCTGAACATGGTTAAATCAACCAACTCCGAATCATTCCGATAGCAAATAGTGGTCGAGAGCATGTCGTCAGAGCTCAGCCCTTAATTATTGTTGTGACTGGAATTTTTATTGAGTATTCTGAACAAAGCTGATCGAAATGTTAAGACCCAGATTCAGTTGTATGGTCTAATTCACAGGGTAGCACATATTTTCTGTGTGACTAAGTAATAAAACAAATTCTGGGGAAAATAAATTAAACTTAATTGACAAAACAAACTTCGCCAATTACTATTTTCTAGTATAAGTCAAAAAAGTTTCCGTTAAAGTCGTTCGAGCCCCTATTTTCGTAACAATTTTCATATCTTTAAATAAAAATCTATTGCATTGTACAATAATAATATATTTAGCCATAAATAAGCGAACGTTGCTACCCGCACCAAAATCCACCCGCAAGTGTGGTGAGAAAAACATTAAATAAATAATAAATGCAAAATGTACAATAGTATAAACAACGGCGTATGTACATCCATACATACATATGTACATATGTATGTATGCAAGTATATCTATGTACATTGATGTTCATATTTTTAGATATCTGCCGGCGGTATACTTTGATGATTCACAAAGAATTACTTTGTGTATATAGCAAAATCATCATTCCCGGCAACGATTCCGCAAATAAATAAACTAAAACAAGTAAGAAAGTCTAAGTTCGGGCGGAGCCGAACATTAAATACCCGGCGCAAGTATTAAATATGTTTTTTCACCTTTCCGAAACCTGATTTATCGAAGATTTTGTATTTCTCTAAATTACCGTTATATGGGATGTGGGCGTGGTTATTGTCCGATTTTAAAAAGTTTCGGCGATTTTTTATGCTGTACCAGGGCCAACAACTGTGCCAAGTTTGGAAGAAATTGGTGCAGCGGTTACCAAGATATACACATATAACCATAAGTGGGCGTGGCTACGCCCATTTTCCAAAAATTTATAATATTCTTATTTTTCGTCTAAAAATTATTGTAAATATCAATTTTGAGTGAATAATCTCCAGTAGTTACTAAAATATCGCAGTTTTCGTATTTCTGAAAATTAC